GGGGGGGGGGGGGGGGGGGGGGGGATCTTATAAAAAATAATTATATATTATCTTGTTTCGAATTACACTGAAAAGAGACAAGAAATTAAGCCAAAATCAATATGAAAATGCAATTAGAAAATCTAATTCGATAAAAAAAAAAATACTGAGGAAAAAAATAATAAGTAGCAGTCAAGTCTAGGTCACAATCTCGCTATCTACCGCTATATGGAGAAAAACACAAGTGTGAATTACCACAAAGTTTATCAAAAAAATAAAAAATGAAAAGAAGAATAATATGGCAAAGTTTTACAAAAATATAAACAGAAAAGAAAATATGAAATGACAGTGATATGACAAAACCAAAATAAATTTAAACACAATCAATCAAAATCTGAAAAGAAATAAAACTATGTTCAATACAATTATTTTCAATACAATTCTATTATTCAATGCAATATATCAACCAATAATCATAAACCATGTGAGAAAAAAAAATGTCAATGTTCAAGCACAATCTCAAAATATTTACGGACTGGCAATCAATGTCTCTAGTTCAAACAGCTTCTGCAATATCTGAATAATGTTTGTAGTCTATAAATACTATGAAATACCTTGTTCTTCAGCTGGAAACGCCAAAAGTCGAATATACATTTCCATAGAAATTCCCAAACACACAATATGACATCAGTGTTGTCTTTCCTTTAGTTTTGATGTTCAAGCTACATTTTGTCTTTCCTTTTGTTGTGATAGGTTGTTTTTTTTCAATAAATGTCGTTTTTTTCTTAAATTCTTGATTTGTTCCATTATATATGATGTTTTCTCCGTTCATATTGTCTTTTCATTGCTTTGTAAGTCTCCTCCTTGTCGTGATGATTATTTTAGTATTTGCTCCCGATTTTGTACATTTTTATGCGGAGAAGGTTCCTATTTCTTGTTTGCTTAGCTACATAGTTACACATTTTGTTTCTGTCTCAACAGATGTAGTGAGGGAATAAGTATGATTTTGTTTCTGTCTCAACAGATGTAGGGAGGGAATAAGTGTGATTTTGTTTCTGTCTCAACAGATGTAGGTAGGGAATAAGTATGGTTTTGTTTCTGTCTCAACAGATGTAGGGAGGGAAAAAGTATGATTTTGTTTCATTACTGCATGACACGATGATAAAATGTTTTTTCCCGATGGTGTAATCGGAAGAGAAAGGCCTTATGTATGGATAAAATGCATGAGTGAAAATAAAATCGTGTGGAAATATTCGCGTTGTGACCTTTTTAGATTAATTGTCGTTTTAGCGTTGGCAACAGTTTGTAATATTTACGTTGTATTCATAACTAATCTATAAAATCTATAAATAATCATTCGCATCTGGAAATTTTCGCGCTTATTCTCTCAACACGAAAAACATTAACGTATTCGCACCGTGAAAATTTCCAGAGTGCAGTATGTATCCCAATCACCTGGAGCAAAAGTTCAATATAAAATTTGCCATAAAATTGTCTGTAAGGGGTAAATATTAGATTGAAAAAGAACTTCAAATTAATAAACATTTTTTTTTTATATATTAAGGACATGTTTACTTCTATTAAGGTTTTTGTGACCGTTTCATTGGTTGGATTTGTTGGTAAATATCACTCAAAATTACGAAATATCAATATCGTTTTCTTTCAAGACTCTCCCTGATGTTAATAACAATAGGAGTGCGTGTGTTGGCATGTAACACTATATTAGCGGTCACTCGAAAGACAACAAAAAAAATTAAAAAATCGTATATAATTAAGAATGTTGTTGGAAAAAACGATGATAAACAGAATTGATAAGCACGAAATGCATATATACTAGATGGATTGTATATCGATGACGTAAAAAAATCTTTCTTTCTTCTTTTAAAAACAATACATGTATTTTGTTATTGTTGGTACGAATCGTTTTGGTTTTCGTACTGGAAGTTTGTAGGTAATAGACGTCCCCTACCATTTCGTGAATGAGATTTAATTTAATTACAGACTACTTGCTTAGTTTCATTCGGGGGTTTTCACATCAATAGAGCAACACATACCTTTGTATAGTGAAACACATTAACCTTGAAAGGTTTTCATTGAAGCAGAAGGCGTGGTTGCAGATGCAATCTTTATGAGTTTTCGTCAAATGAAAAACAGGAACATGAACAAATTTGAATAGATGAAACTCATCATCAATCATTTAGTAATTTAAGCGATGTAGCAAATAAAATACGATAGTCAGACAGTAAAACAGATATTCTCATTATAGTCAAATGCTAAAGCATTACGTAATACTGTCGAGATGGTGTGGCGCACGTAGCCCAGAACACCTACAGTGACACATACATGTGTGTATCCACAGGATAGGGCGTTAATAAATCTTTACTGTCAAGTAGGTATGTACTACAGCCCAAAACTCACTCAGCTATAGATTTATTGTTTTATGAACGCAATAATCATACACGCACACTATTTTCACCGCCATTCCGGTTAATTTGAAAAATAAACAAATATTGACATTTCGAAATATTCAAGTGTTATTACTAATCAACAAAGGCAATATGACAAAATATACTAGTTATGATAATCTAATGGAGATAATTACAAATTAACTTTCATAATTACTTTGAAAATATTGTTACACTTTCATCATTTGTTTAAGTTAAATGTTGGCATCTATAAAGAAGTTTGACGGAATATTGAGGTCAACACACTGAAACATTTCAATAAAAATCTTGAAAGGGATTATGAAATATGTTGGAGGTGGTAAGCGAGATGACAGTTGAACTGCGGGACACTATATCAAAATTTTAGATTTTTTATTTATTTGTAATGGATGGCTTAGCATACATTTAAACACATTGGTATTAGTATAACATAGTTATAATATTAACGCTCCTTGTAAATTAGATAAATACGTGTTTTTACATCTAGACATCCGATACAAACGGCACTAGTGAAACGAAACCATAAGGAATGGAATTTCAAAGGAGAAGGCAACAGTGGCCACGGGAAGTGATG